TGGGTTACAACTGATTGCACAACGCTTATGACAATTAACAACAATGTAGAAATTTTTTTTTAAAAAAATTTGAAGCAAAACTGAAAAACCTTCTACTACATTCTTTTATTACTTCTCAACAGTCATGATTTTTATTTAATCTGAAGAAGGCCTTGATGATAATGACGGCATATTGATCTGTGATTTTGCTGAAAATTATCCTTTTGTATTGCAGGATGCAGTCCAAGTATACCATTGGAATAATTCCCAGTGTACTATTCACCCTTTTGTCATTTACTGTATGAATTCAGAAACACTTAAATTGGATCATGTTTCCTTTGTTGCCATTTCGGAATGTCTCAAGCATGATACTGTTAGTGTTCACCTTTTTCAGACCCAATTGTTGCAGTTTTTAACCTCACATTTTAACAGCAAAATAAGACTGAATTATTACTTCTCAGATGGAACTTGATAAGTTTGTGCTATCATGATATAGACTTTGGTCTCACAGCTGAGTGGCATTTCTTTCCTACTGCCTATGGAAACGTTCCATGTGATGGTGTTGCAGGTACCATCAAAAGACAAGCTGCACCTTCCAGTCTTCAATGTTATTTTAAAGATCAAATCATGACACCGCCGAAGTTATATGAATGGGCTGTAAAAAATATCCCTTCTTGCCATTTTACATACTGCACAGATAAATATTATGAGAAACAGAGACATTTTCTTGAAAAGCAACATAGAAATGAACGCACAATCCCTGATATACAAAAAATTCATTTTGTAATACTAAAGCACATCAATTAAAACGATAATGTATTGTAAGCCGCTTATCAATTAAAACGAAAATGTATTCAAATTCATCTGAAAAAGATCCAGTCAGTGTTATTAAATCCTTCAGAACTGTCCTTAGAAGATATTCGTGGGTATGTTGTTGTTTCGCTAATGGGACAGCCAATGGTGGGTAAGATCTGTTATAGATGTAAATCTAAACTCAGAAGAAGTTAAGGTAAGTTTTCTACATCCTCCTGAACCGTCGCTGTCATACTCGTACCCACAGAAGCCTTTGATATTGAAAGTAAATAAAACACATTATGAAGGTTGATGTACAAACAACAATATTTTAGGAGCCAAAAGTATTGGATAAATATTATTTTTGATATAAATGATCGTTTATTTTTATATATTGGTTTAAAAATTTAGGTTTTTACTCACTTTTCCATGGATTCTTTTAGGTTTTTTATTCACTTTTTTGAATGTCTTAAGTAAAAAAAAGAAGGTTGTACAGCATACCACTTTTATTAATTCTTTATATACTTCCTTTTGAGACTCCAGGCTATAAATTTGTAGATGTGTAGAAGAACGTTGCAGTAGAAAAATATTTTTTTTTCGTAATTTTTTGAGACGACATGTTTTGAGATATTTCAGGTCAAAGGCCAAATCAGGTCACTTTGAAAGTTCGACCTATCCTGAGAAGGTCATATAAGGTATCAAATGAAAGCTCTATTTTTTAGCTTTCCAATGGATTATGAATTTTTTTTTCTGATACATTTAGAAAAAATATACAGCCATTTATATGTGTGCAAGTTTGCCGTTTTTTAAGAATTTTTTTTTCCTTCGAATGTCCATAATTTAATCAATTTTCAAATTAAAAATCTAAAAATAGGTAGAATTGCTTACTTTATAATGAGTGTTTATTCCATCAAATTTCATTAAAATCGGATCCAAAAGTGATTGATCTGACGTGGAATGACTCATTAGTGATTTTTTTTTCTTTCAAAAAAGTCAAATCACTAGTTGCACTATGGGAAATTTAGAAATATTAAAATTTCATTGAAGAAAGTAGCAGACTCTTATCTGTTATAAGACAATTTAAGAAAATTATGTTTGTAATTTACGTGTGACGTAAGAACGTTAGATACTAGAGCGTTCTACACAATTCTTGGTAACGACAATTCGTCGTGGTCATAATTCGTCGCGGCTACAATTCGTCGTGAACACAATTTCTTGTAGTTTCGATTAAATACATCTTTAGTCCAATAATTATAGCAACAAAAAAAGTGTTTCTTCAAAAAAAATTAATATCAAAAATATTTTATTGGCAGAAAGCTTTGTTCTGCTACCATAAATAATAACCTGTCCTTTGTAGTCCTTTTTTGAGGGGAATGGGTTATATTTTAATTTCATCGAAGCAGACAAGTGCTGCATTGTTTTCGATGTTTTTTGGATTTTTTTTTTCACTGTGAATTGAATTAAACGAATCTCAAGATTATCGAACTAATAATATCGAAGTTATATAGGTTTAAAATACTGGGTGTAAAAAAGTATGGAAACAGTAAAATATTTCAAGAAATATGCATTGAACCAAAAAAAAAAATTGGATGCATTCAATAATTTGTTTAAAAGTTTTTATCGATACCTAATCCAATCTTTCCATACCAGCACTTGGGAGTGGGGGGTAACTTTGAAATCGTAAATTTGGATTTTTATTTTTTATTATTGATTTCTTCAGAATAATAACCAAATTCCACACATAGATTTTACATTTGGCTTCACCGATAGGAGTTAACGAACAAAAATTAAAATAGGGTCGCTGTGTAAAATGGCGATATCTCTAAACTGATCCGAATAAGAACTTGAAAATGCACACGTTTCAATTTTTTTATTACTTTTATTCTTAACTTTTTTTTTCGAAAAAAATTACTAGAACATTTTTATTCTTTTTTTTTTCAATATATGGCTCTTGGTTGTCGCTATTTTACACAGCTTTTACACTATTTTAATTTTGGGCTTCCGACAAATTGTGCCCACGACCCGCGAATTGTGCGCGATATGAATTGTATTTTGACGAATTAAGCGCAACAACAACGTTTGAGAGTTGCCATTTAAAGTCAAACTTATCTAGACAAACTCCGTGTATTGAAAAGTGAATGTCAATTTTACTGAATGTATATATTATTATATAGAAATATATATTATTATATAGAAATTTATTATATACAGGGGTCTGTTTAGAAGAAATTTGGGTCCGTTAACGGACCCTTTACAAAATATCTTTTCATAAAAACGGACCCTTCACAAAATATTTTAGCTTAAAAACGGACCCTTCACAAAATGATTTTTCTTTTAATCGAGCCCTTCACAAATTTGTTTATCTTCATTATTATTTTGTTAATCGAATAAACCCTTTCCAGGGCAGAAAACAAGAAAGATGGATGTAAACGTCTTCGTCTTCGACGATTCTTCCATTATTCGTCGGAAATTAATATTCTGCGTTCAGCAGTATAGGCTAAATACCAAACATTTGTATGTTGCATCTCTAATTTAAAAGCAGCAATTGTTGTTTATTTTTTAAAACTTAATTTTTTTAATTATAATTTTACAGTGTTGAGCATAATCTTGTATATCTTTACAATTTACAATCTTGACAATTTTTTAAAACTTAATTGTTTTTAATATAATTTTACAGTGTTGAGCATAATCTTGTATATCTTTACAATTGCACTCCTTGAAAAAGTTTTTTTTGCAATAACGGACCCTATTTGCACAAATTCATAAAAGCGGACCCTGGTTGAAAGAATGTGAGTAATTTTTTGACAATTTCACGAAAAATGGACCTTTTACAAAATGTTTGGACAGACCCCTGATATAGAAATATATATAACTATATAGATGATAGATTGATGTTGTCCAAATACGCTAGATAAAATGCAAAGTTCAGAGAATGTACATGACAAGAGTGGACTCATTAAAAAAAATTTATTTATTTATTTTTTTAACATTTTACAATGCATAATTTATTTGAAACTTGTTTTATGTAGATATTTGTTTGAGTGGATATTTGTTAGAAAACATTCGTATTTGTCACGAATATTAATTAAAAATTTTTGAAACAAATTATTTTGTTCAAGTAAGATAATTTTGTATACTTATACTTGAGGATTTGTATACTTATACTTTGCGTATTTTTTATACTTTTTGGCCATGTAAAACGCGTTTATTTAGAAAAGTGAGTTTCAATTTGTTTGAAAACACTCATACATCAAGATATTTAAATGCAAAATTTGAAGAAGAATTTGCGCTGTCCAAATCTACTATATAAAATTGTACTGAGTTCACTGATGCAGCTGAAGCGTATATAATTTAAAATTTGTTTTTAACATTTTACAATACAGAATATATTTAAAAATTATTTTATGTATAGTGGATATTTTGCTAATTAATTTCACATATTTAAAACTAACATAAATATAATAATAAAAAAAAAACTTTAAGAACTTCAAAACAAATTCTGTTGATTTAGGCATTAATTTCAAGTTGACAAATATTTATGCACAAAATAACTTCACTTCTCATTCATTAAAAACAAACCACACTAAAAAAAGGGCCATCCGAATTTATAATTAAATAACTTTTTGTTGCCATATTAATTTTTTTTAAAAATTGCACTTACTTAAAGGTTCAGAAATACATTTTTAATATTAAAATAAAATTTTCTCTCGAAGATGCTATTTGAATCCAAGAATCGGTAAGATTTTCATTACCATCATGTTTTTTTTGCGGGAAAAAAAATACATAAAATATCTAATTTTACAGATGTATATATATATATATGTATGTATAAAACTACGTTTAATATTTATTTTGTTCTTTATTTACATTCTGAGAAATATAAAAGAATTATAAGATTTGTAAAACAGGAATTCTAAAATTCTGTAATTTAATGTACACAAAGTATAAACGTAACTTTGCGCTAATTGAAATTTAATAAAGCAAAATACTTACACTAAATTTTAAGACAATAAAAATTATTAAAAATTTAAGTAATTTGATATTATAACTCCTTATAAATTTTCAAACTGATGATTTATTTTAATTAAACCAATTATTTAAAAAAAAACATTCTGTTAATTTAAGTCATGTTTCAAATCAAAGTTTTAATCAAACTGATTTTAATCTACAAATCCTAAGAAAACATTATAAACTTCTGTTTGTCAATTTTTTATTTATTCTTTTTTTAGATTATGCCACATTTGCATGGAAAATTCTGTATAGTTCCTGAGCAAAAAATGGAACATGGCAGTCCTGAAAAGCTTGCTTTAAGTGAAAATGGAGGAAATGTTTTACCTGCCGTGGATAACATTGTAAATATTTCCTCAGAGACTAATTCTGAAGAAAGTAGAGTGTTTCAAAACGACGATCAAGATTTTAAACCTATTCTTTTAACTTTTATTAAAGATGAAAGTAATAATCATCTGACCGAAAAGTGTTTAAGCATTCTTAAAGAAAGGATGAAGCCAAAGCCATTAGAAAATCCTTGTAAGAGTTATGCAGCTTTATTTGTTGAAAGCAACATTCACGATCAGTTCGATCAACATTCTACGGTTGATCGTACACATCCATTCTTAGACATGAAACCTTCAGGGAATGGTGAATCTAATATTTGTATTGACACAAAACATTTTGCCTCTACTACAATTAATCATTCCAGCACCCACTATTCTTTGAACTTAAATAATAAGATTAATATTCCACAAAACGTTAATGAACCTAAAAAACAAGTTGGCATAGTCAAAGAAGAGATTGCTGCGTCTAATAGAACTGTTCAAAAATCAACAAAAAAAGTAAGCCTACCAAGAAAATGCTTTGCCAAGGCAAGAAAGAATATAGGCAGGCCAAAAGAATCAGACATAAGAGTTTGTAATTGCCAATTTAAACAAGAAGATAGCATTCTGAAAGTTGGCAAAGTCGAAAAAGACATAAAATTGTCTTCAAAAATTGTAGGAAAGTCAAAGAAAAAAGCAGGTCGGCCTAAACAGGTAGAAGACACCAAAGATAATGGCATGGTCAAGAAAGAAATTGCAACGTTTTCAAAATCTGTGGGAAAGTCAACAAAAAAAGTAGGTCGCCCAAAAGAAGACATTGACAAAGTAAACAAACAAAGAAAAAGTTTTGCTAGGTCAAAAACAGCAGGTACAAAAGGTGGTAATTGTTTGCAATTTAAACAAGATTGCATCCAAGAAAATGGCATGTTAAAGAAAGAGATTGCAGGAAAATCAACGAAAAAAGCAGGTCGGCCTAAACAGGTAGATAACACCAAAGATAATGGCATGGTCAAGAAAGAAATTGCAACGTCTTCAAAAACTGTGAGAAAGTCAACAAAAAAAGTAGGTCACCCACGAAAAGAAATTCTTAGAAAATGTCTTGCTAGGGTAAGAAAGAATGTAGGCAGGCCAAAAATAACAGATACAAGGTTCATACATGGTTGCTGTTTGCAAGAAGGTAAGCAAGACCTCGAAAAATGCTGTAGTGTTCAGATCTCAAGTGTCACAGAAAGTTCTATTCTCTCTAACAGCTTCAGTTGTGGACCCACTTTTTATAACAACGTGCTTCTTCATGATGCGAATTGTGCGTCACCTTTCGATGAAAAAGATAATTCTTTCGAATCTGAACATGCCGATTGCTCGCGTTTATTGAGAAACGCGAATGCATCCATTGATATTATTTCTGGAACTCAACGTGCGCTAATGACGCCAGTGAGCCTTACTCCTAGTTTTCCATTTACAAATGAAACCTTTTTTCTTAACTCATTGACTTTGGAAGAAAGAAGTTTGATCGAGAAGTATAGCGCCTGTTCTGTGGTTTTGGATAAAGTATCAACCGAAAAGCTGCTGGAAACAACGTCAGTTTGCAAAGAAAATATTCCTCAAAAAAGAAAGCTGCACAGAAAAGGTGAGTATATCAATTTTTATTAATAATAATAAGAAAAAAATGGACCAGGATAGCCTGATTGTCAGGGCGTTGGATCCTAGAGGTCGTGATCTCAATCCCCGCCTTGTGAAGACTGAATTGCCTATGTAACTTCTGGATACGGAGTACGTAGCCCTAGAGGCTATGTGCTCATTTATTGAAAATTATTAGATTTAGTGAGAAGGGGTGGAGAGTTTGCGTTCCCAAATAAACATTGTTAAATGAAAACACTAAGAGATTACATGCAAGATTAAACTGGGATGAGAATAATATACAATATTTACACTATCAGGGGTCGGGGCAGGGATAGCCTGATTGGTAGGGCACTGAGCCATGTTCAAGAGGTCGTGGGTTCGATTCCCGCCTGCCGAAGACTCCCTGTGTATTAAATAGTGACTGGTGCACGTTAAATCTATCGGGTCACAAATTCATCCATGTTCCCATAACAAATCATACTCTGGGGGTTTTAGAGACTGATCGTTCTCAGGTCAAAATTATGAACTGTGAGTGACTGAAAGTGTGCATGGGACCAGCCTATAAACGGTTATTGATGTTTGTGTTGCTGAAGTCGTACCGTAAAACAAAAAACAAACTCTCTGCCTTAAATTCGCTTGGTTTCAACAAGCAAGCTTGCTGGTATTGGCAAGTAGCATTAGAAACCACAAGAACAACAGAGATAAAAACGAAACACTAGTGATTTTCAATTGCAGATTAAAATGTATTTATATCCAGTTCACTGTCTTTAATATTTTTATTTAACTTCGTCATTGAACAGCCAACCCAATTTTGATTTCACGACTACTAATGTTCAATTCCGTAGTCTTGTAATTTTAAACCCGATCCCGAAAACAAGGGGAACTCCCAGAATAAATATTGGGAGAAATTTGCCTTCATGGAGGACTTTTTTGGTGAAACTGACCTGTGTTTGCGAAGCATGGAGAGGAAGCCCACGAAAACCTCCCACGGCTAGCCTGACGGCAAAGGGACTCTTAACTCATGATCCGTCTACCACTGACGATATTTCACGTCAGTACTGTGGTTGGTGCAAACCGGATCCGGACTCTATCGATCAGCCATCGATAGGATTCGTACCCGGTTCAGCTCATTGCAAGGTGAACGCTCTATCCCCTGAGCCACGGCTTATGGTTAATGGTTGACATGATCCATTTGCCAAAAAACCTTCTGAGCTCTTTTTCTATTCGAAGTGTTTGCCTTTTTTTTTAAATGTAAACTCAGGTCTTACGATACCGAAGTTTTTTCCATCTGAACGGTGTTTCATTTGATTGAAAGTGTCTTCACTTTAACTGTTTGTTCCGCGGTTTAATTCCTGTGGTAACGACTGGTTGCTGATTTTCTGATAATGATTGCGATTTTCATTCTTCTCCCAACTGTTCAAGTATGTAGCCTTTTCAGACTGAAACTTTTGGATACATTGAGTTAGAGTGAGTTCTGAACAAATCTATAAGTAGGAAAGCGGTTCCCAAAAAGTGTTCCACGAATAAATATTGTTGGAAGGTTACAGGGGTTTCAAAAGTTAGGAGTTTATTTTACCAATTATGGTTTTTTAAAACTCCATTTATATTTATATTCCGTCTATAGTAATACTGGTAGTAATTATATTTATATTCCGTTAAGCGCACCTAGCTGCGGACGACGACATTGTGCGCACGACGGCATTTCCGATCTTCGTTTCCTATACAATTTCAACCCATTTGATGTGCTCTACCTCCCCTGAAAGTTTGTCACAACATTTACGCTACCACCTGTTATGAAATATTTACCCCGACCTGCCCCAATTTAGGGCATACGGGTAAATGTTTATTAAAATCAAGAAAAACAGAAAAGTACATAAAATACAAAAAGTACATAAAATACAAAAAGTAACATTACAGAGTAACATTATGTAAACATTACAGAGTCTGATGACAACAGCAGTAAAATAATTAAAATACTCCGAGAGTCCCGCCTTATAGTGCCGAAGCCGACGGGGCTTCCCTTATAGTGAGCCAAAGACACAAATGAAAAATTTTACAACACATCGCAGGAAAGTACAGTATGACATACAATGCATCATGTGCAGGCAGTACATAGGATTAAAACGAGTAATAATACGGAGTAAGTTGGGTCGCTAAACCAAAGCGATCATTAACATTGTGACAGGATATAAAGGACACAAAGTATAAACTGTTGATGTATTCAAGAACAGTAAAACATAAAGTGAACCATTAAAAAAA